GGTCTTTATTTTTATCAGAGTGCTTCTACGTTGTTAGACGCTGAACATTGTGTTCACCAACATTTTCACAATTTGTATATACTGGTAACAGAGAATTGCTGTTTTGCTGCAGGGTAACTGAGAGGGCTAATCCATTCTTTCTGCTTCAAAGAAGGAAAGGGCATGGTGGTGGTGGTCTGACTTCATTGTTAGTTGGTACAATAGATACAGTTTTAGACACCAAGCCACCACCATATAGGATATTACACCAGACACCTAATTCGGAAGTCTTCTGGAGTAAGTACACCTATCCTGCTTGCACATTAACAGTTTATACAGAGAAAAAGACAAATGTGGCATATTACCCTGTATTTACTCATTGATGCCACAAATGTTATTTTGTTATTATGATCAAAAAATAACCACGAAATAATTACCACAAACATATATTTAACCCTTGACACCCAGATACTGATACATACATGTATGTACCTCTTTTTGAAAATGTAACTGTCATATTTGGTATTTGAATACATTTATTGTATTTTCAAGTTAACATTGCAAATCAGTCATTGGTTGCATGAAATTGCTCTTGTGTCTCATTGGCCCTGAGTTCAAATCTTACTTGAACAATAAAAAGCAGCGATATATTTTTGTTTTGGCCATGATCCTTTCTCTGAAAAATTATTGATGAAGCCTTGATCAAGGCCTACAGTAATTGATCTTCTTGATCATCAGATGGCCACACACTGTCATGTACTGGTAATGCCAAATGCTGAATGTGTATTTTGTTGCGTAAATACACTGCATTGTATAGTACATCACACCTGTGTTGTGTTGTGGTGGAATAATTTCAACCTGCTAACGTATTATCTTTAACCATGGCACAATTGCTGCTCTGATCATTCACTAAATATATTCTGTCATCAAGCTTTAATAATGTTTCTTGCTGTTTGTTCTGTTTTATAGCTGTTTCAACATCATTGCACAAGAGAGAAATTCTTCATCACTGGGAATGGTTGGAACAGAATGTAATGCAAATCTTGGGTAAGAAAACTATAAATATGTATTTTATTATGTTACCATAACTACAATATCTACATAATGTACATCCTACACTACATACACTATCATCTTTTATACATGTATCATATCCAATGATAGAGACATCTGTTTAAATGTCAATGATCACAAGTTGCAGTACTGGGGGTATAATTATTAAACTTTTGAATGACAAACTTTTGTCATGTTTCACACAAAACAAACCCACATTCTTTCAAGGAATATTTAATCAAAACATATTGCCTATAATATATTATGTCCATTTGGTTCAAAATTATCACAGAATTTACAGAAATTATGTTGCACCAAGGTTTTGGCTGAAAAATGATTGCATTCACAGGGATAAATGATACCGTAAAAGCATTAATTTTAAGTTGTATTTGATTTTGCTATTTGATATTTGCTACGAACTTTCCAGTGAAAGTACTATTGTAATTTGTGGGTTTAATTTATTGGTTTTTGCTTATTAGCACAAATAGCAAAATTGAAACAAGTTAAAATTATTCAATTTACAATTAATGTTTTCAGATATCGTTAAAATTAATAAACATTATAGTGTATTTTTCATTAAAACTTAAATCATGTTGTTTCAAATTCTCTATCATTGTATTGTGTAGGTGCATTTGAAGATGAAGATGATGCTACTGAGTTTGTTAAATGTAAGATTGAAAGCATAATTGCCAACTCTGTTGCCAAAACAGAAGAACCCAAAGAAGGTAAAATTTCTTGTTTCTTTGTAAATTTATAAACTTTGAGAATTAAAAACATATTTAGACCATATTTATTTTGTTATTGGAAGCTAACATTGGTATTTTAAATTCAGGTGCACAAAGGAACTGAAAATTGTTTGCTTTGTAGACAAATTTTTTTTATAAGCAGGAACACACAGAAAGGAATAGAAAATGGTGTTCAGTTTTCAAAGGTTTTTGTTTTTTATGCAGGATTTATTTTAGACAAATTTTATTTTATGGGCCAATACAAAAAAAAAGTTTGAAGTAAAAATAAGAAAAATCAAAAACTAAGAAATATATAATCACAATCATATCAATTTGAGTTTCAAACGCATGACAATTATTTTGAATTTTATCAAAATCAATATTGTGTCATTTTTCCCATCCATCTCTTATTTACTTCCTCAGATGAAGACACAAGAATATTTAAATCAGCCACACAAAAATGGAGACGTCATTTCAGAATGCCAGAGGAAGAGAAACTTGTAAATTGTAAGTAAATTATCTTGAGTTTAAAACTGAAGTTTCAATCCACCCTGTCATGGTTAAATTAATTAAAAAAGTATTTTCATACATCAGAAATATTGTGAGGGTGATTTCTTTGACTGACAAGTATTGTCTGTCCACAGGTTTTCAAGGACATAAAGTTGTGATCACAGCTATAAACAGTAACTGATGAACAATGGCCAAAATATTTAGGAAAAATGATTGGATATTGCAGCTAATAATATACAATGTACAGATACTATTTTGACCCTTTAGGTGATCAGCAATCTCACCTATACATGCATACACACATATGTAACCTTGCACAAACCTGTTTCTCTATATACATATATGACATCAGTCTATAAACTTTGCTACTGTAACTTTCAGATTATTCATGTAGCTACTGGAAAGGTAAAATGCCTCGCCAGGGATGGATGTATTTGAGTGTCAACCATCTCTGCTTTTATTCATTTCTAATGGGGACAGAAGCTAGGCTAGTCATTAGATGGACTGATATAACTGTAAGTCTTTCTTGAATTTTTTGTGTCGTTAGGGTTGTTATTAACTTTCAAAATATTTACACTTATGTTGGACAAGATGGAGTTATTATTGAATGTACTGTAAATCCTTAATTTTGTGAAAGACAAATTCTTCATAAAATTATCATAGAAAAATGCCTATTTTGTGGTATCTTTATCTTGAATGAAATATCTGGTTCCCATATCTACTCTTCTTCAATAGAGGTATATGTAAACAAACAATAATAAAATTGTGTTTATATCATTCATACAGGATCATTCAAATATGATTTATTATGACCTTATTTCTGTCATTAGAAATGTACATGGAGGGTTCTAAAAAAATACTAGTAGGACATGTTTTTTTATTATTCTACAGAACACATGAGACTGACAATAATAAATAAACAATTTATTTCACAGCATCTAGAGAGAAGCAATAGTATGATATTTCCTGAGAGTATCAAGGTATCCACTCGTGAAAAAGACCACTATTTTGCTATGTTTATTCACCCATATGAGACATTCAATATGATGGAGCAGCTTGCCAATCTGGCAATGAAGCAGTTGTTATCTGAAGAAGGATTTGAAGAAGATAGGAGCCTACCATCAAGGTCTGACATCAGGTACAAATCTCAATCTATACATGTATATGGGGATGATATGTTAACCTTTGTTTTCACTTATCTTGTTTTTGAGCTATATGATGTATATGTATGTATTATGTACACTTTCAGCTGGATATATTGTTATATCATTGACATATACATGAACTTACATGTATATTATTCTTGTAGATCATACTAAATTTACTTTTTCATTTACACCTGGCATTCTGCAGTTATGAAAAGTAAGTTTTGAAAAAAAAAACTATATAAATAAATATCATCTGTCCCGGTACGTCCATTAGTTATATCATGCCATTTTGCACTATTGCAAAGGGTATGTACATGTAATGCAAGGCCAAGGGGTATTGTGGTTACCTGTTTGCATGGAGTCATAACTGTTGAAATTCAATACTCATCACTTTGAAATTTGGTGTCTTTGATGGTCATGCATTTGTTGATTTGCATATTAATAAATTATTACAGTGTGATGAAAACATTGTTCCTCTAATTTATCTAATAAATGCCCAACATTTTGAATGTAGGTGTGCATGATGGTATTAAGGTTTTGGTGGTTTGATTGGCATATATTACAGATTAGTGAGAACTTATACTCCAAATTTAACTTAGCAAGAGAGATGTGTACTCATGTTAGCTATATCCAGTTACAGTAGCTGGTACACCACGGTATTCTATTTGAAGTGATTGTCACAAACTCTTTGTAAAACAATGCCCAGGGATTCTTGTTAAAAAATGTGAATTCCAAATATAGATCTATTGGACATTATTTTCAAGTTTCATCAATATTCACCATACTCTTTGCTCTATGCTTCCTATACCCTGCAGTTGAATCTGGAAGTTGTACAATTATAAGGTTATTACAAGGTACAATCAAATAGTGTATGACAATATCAACTGATATGTGCTGGTTGATACTCTCGCTATACTCTCTTTGTGCATACTTTGCGGTATCCTTGTAATATATACTTAGTATTGGCTTTGAACTTGAATGCTATATCATCAGGATTAAACCTCTGCCAAGTGATATTTAAACATCTGATGAAGGAAAATAATTCATTATTGAGTTTGGTTGTTGGTTTGTTTCAGAACAAGGGCACCAAAGAAAATATCATCTTTGAAGAGAGACCTTGATGCAAGAGCAAGAAGTGAAACCTACAGGTATGTATTATTTTATTTTTGCTGTGTTATCTGCTTTTACTGATTTGTTATATGTAAGCAAAGATATAATTCACTGGATTTTATTATTGTCCAGTGAAAATAAATGAATTGCATATGTAACTAAGATACTCAAAATGTAACATAAAAAAAAAGATTTTTGAATTATGGCTGTGTCACTTCTGCGCAGTATGGTACTAAGATTCCGCTGTCTATATACATTTAAAGCCCTTCAAGACAGTTTGAACTGAATTCAAATTTTGCATTACTGAGCATGTTACTGCACATATACACAATGAATGCATTATGGGAGATAATCTCTCATTGTATAT